CACAGGAGGCCAGGGGACACCTAGATCTAAGGTTTGAGGACACACTGCCCTCGGTCTCGGGAGCCGTCCAGGCCAGGTGACAGATTCTGCTCTGGCTGCACGCTCGTGTATGATCTGTGGCAGGGGTTGCTGGGGAGAGGTGGGGAGACGTGAAGCCGGATTCCGCCAGACAGGAACAGGGGCTCAGCCAAGCCCAGAGGCTGAGTCCACATTCCTGGGGTCCTCTGAGCCTTGAGCACATGGCTACCGAGGGTGCTGCCAGGCCGTGGCGGGAGATGTCAGGTCAGAACCTCCGCAGACCCATGCCCAGCTCTGCCCCTCCCTGGTCTGGTCTTGCCCATCCATGGTTCCTGTTGGCAAGGCTGGGCCCATGCCTGCGCCTCGGGGCCGCTGGTGACCCGGCAGGGAACCCTCCTGGGGAGCAAGGCTGAGGACTCAGAAGGGGGACCTGGGTTCCCTTGGGAAGTGCCCTGCTGGCCCAGCCCCTGCCAAGGGGTGGCTGGAGCCAGGGTGGGGAAGCCATGGCTGCCAGCTGAAGTTGGGGACGGGAGGACAGAGACAGCATAGGGTGTGGCAGAGTCGCTTACCATGGGAAGGGGCCCCTAGGGAGGCCTCTGCCTGGCTGTGCCATTTCTCAGTCAGCCTGAGATTTGGGGCAGGGGCCTCCCAACTTCCTCCATCCCGGCTGAGCCTGAGGCACCTTTCTGGGCCTCCATGTCCCCATCTACCCCACGAATGCTGTCCTGCCACGCCAGGAGTGACGGGAAGGGGGGTGGTAATCCCCACGGTCGGGAGGACTTCCTGGGGGTGGAGCCACGAGGTGGGACCAGGACAGACACATAGCTCCCGTCTACGCTCTACCTGGGATTTGGCTCTCTTCGTCCCAGCCACAAACTCCTATTCATCCTTCAAAGCCTAGATCCAGGCTCACACATTTATCTGTCTGACAGATGCTCAGAGTGTCAGCTCGGTGCTCAGTAGGCACTGGGTGTGGGATGTAGAGGACAAGGACCCCAGCTGGGCCCCACAGCTTCTTTCACCCTGAGGTGTCTCCCTGTCCAGACTGGACTCCTCAGAGGCTCCCTAGGTGCACCTGGGCACTGCAGCTCTGAGGCGGAGCTGTGGGGTGGGGTGGGGAGGAGCTGCCTGTGCCAGGCTCCAGCTCCCTGGCTGGGTCCCAAGGGCACCCTGTGACCTTTCCCCTGGGTGTGGCCGGGACACATTTGAGCAGGGCCTGGGTACTCTTAACAGGTGTCTTCTGGGCTGCAGAGCCCTGGGCAGGGCTTGCTACCTTTCTCAGCTACAATCTCCTCATCCCAAAGACAGGGAGAGATAGCTGGGCACAGAGGTGCACGCCTGTAATCCCAGCACTAAGGAGGCTGAGGCAGGAGGATCACAAGTTCAAGCCTGGGCAATTTAGTGACTTAGTGAGATCCTGTCTCAAAATAAAACATAAAAAAGGTCTGGTAGAGGGCTAGCTCCACAATATAGGGTTTGATACCCAGGACCAGAGGGAAAAAAAGATGGGGAGAGAGAGACTGCCCTGGTGTGGGACAGGATGCTGCAGCGGGGTGCCCTTGGGGTAGCAGTCAGTGGTGACCTGGGCAGAGGAGGCCAGAGAGAGGGCAGCAGATGGGCCTAATGTGAGCGGAGGCTGGACACATGCTGTGGGGGGCTGTGGCCTCCTGTGGCTGTTTAGAACCCTGGCAAGGAGAGGGGGGGGTCCACAGACTTGGGGGTTCAGGCTGAGGCTGGGTGAGGAACCAGGAGGGGAGGACACAGGCGCGCCAGGCTCTCTGGGCAGGGAGCACCATCCAGAAGCAGGGCCCAGACGGGTGGCAGCAGTGGCCTCGGTCTTGCCCCCCTCAGGACCATGCCCAAGCCAGGCAGGTGGCCCTGCTCAGCACTCCCAGGCAAGGTGCCCTGGCTGAGACTCAGTGCCCGCCGGCCCCAGTGGCCATTGGGCTGCCCTTGCCCACTGCCCCCCACTGGGTCCGAGTCAGCCAGGCTGGGGAACTGGGAAACTGGGAAACTGGCACTTTCAGCTGTTACGTCCACCCGCCTGGACCCCGCACTGCTCCGGCACCCCGTGAGCCTGTGCTCTGGGGGTCCTGGGAACTGAAGGGTCCCCTCAGGGAAAGATGGCACCAGGCTCCAGGAGGGTGGTGGCTGGGCTGTCACCATGCCTGTCCCCTCCCCTGCTGTGTAACCTGATATGCACTGACCTCTCTGGTCCTCAGCTTCCTTGTATGGAGCACAGAGATGGGACAAGTGACCGCAGCCTCTGTGTTGGGGACAGATGAGACTCATAGGACCCCGGAGAGGCGGTGGACAGCAGTGGTTCCCTCAGCCCTTCTCCGGCCATCTTATCTCCTGCGGGTGTGACCTTGGGCAGCATGGCTCCCTGCAGTCTGGCCTGAATCAGCACCCTCCACTCTGGGGGTGGCCCTGCTGGGGACGGTCTTGTCTACAAGGGACAGCAGTCCTACGTGTGCATTCGGAGGTCGTCCCTGCTCCTCCCTCCAGCCACCAGCGGTGTCTCCCAGACTGCAGCTGGAGAAGACGGACCCCTGCTCCCCTGAACCAGCCCCCACCTCCTCGGTCTTGCTAGGGATCCTCATCCTGGGGTCAAGTGTGCACCCACACCACTGCCAACCTGGAGCTATGCCCAGCACATTTCCCTGGACTCCGAGCGCCACCTGCTGGTCAAATCAGGAGCCACTGTGCGCCAGGCTGTGGCTGGCAGCAACCCAGACCGGAGTCCAAGCCCTCCACCGGGTGAGTACAGAAAAACCGAGGCTCCACAGGAGGCAGGGCTTGCCACAGGGATGGGGCTGGGGCTCCCAAAGCCCGTCCTGCACCTGTTGGCCTTGGGGGACAGAGACTCTGGGCCATCTCCGCCAGGATGGAAGTCCACCTGGAGTGCAGCACCCAAGGGCTGTGTGCCCCCAGGGGTGGCCTGCTCTGCCACCCTGGCCAGGCTGAGCCCCAGGGGCCCCACTGCCATAGCACCCCACTCAGGGTCTTGGCGTGAGATGATGAAGTTCAGGTCTGGGCGCCGTGCTCTGCTCAGCCCGGTGGCCCAGCCCGAAGCGTCCACTGGCAGCAGGGCCGTGCAGGAGACCCGAGGCACCCGGAGCTCCGGGACCCCTTGGTGCATAGCCTGCCAGGCCCTGTCCCCATCCGGTGGGCACAGCCTTAGTCTGCCTCCCTCTGGGCTGGGGTGGGAGGGGCTCTGACCCACAGCGTGGGGGGTCAGGGGACGAGGTTTCCAGGCTCCTTGGGTGGCACAGGTGGGCACAAGAGGAGGGACCACACCGCTGGCTCTCACTTCTTGCAAGGTGGGCCGGGTGGCTGCCTGGAGGCCCTGGCTTTGACAAGTCGCTGGGGGGGCATCAGTGAAGTGGGAGGAGGCTGGGTCTGAGAATGAGAGGCCAGGCTGGGAACCATGGGGTTCGGCAAGGTCTGGGGCACGATGCCACCAGTTCTGTCCCCGGTCGCCACCGTGGTCCGAGCCTCAGGGGCTGCCCCTCTCAGAGCTCCCTGCCTGCGTGGACCTCTGCCCTCATAGTGGCCAGGCTGGGCCAATGCCCTGGGGGACAGATGGCTCCTGGGGGACTTGAGGAGCTGGGGGCTGGAATGGGGAGGCTGTGAACAGTCAGGAGGGCTGAAGCAGGAGGACACCTGCTGCAGGCCTTGTCAGAGCCTTTGGTGGGCTCTGGGGCAGGACTCCAGGACCAGATGCTGTGGGTGGCAGCTCTGGATGGGTGTATCCCTGGCCCCTCTGAGTTCTAGAGCATCAGGGACAGCAGCGACCTCCCCAGCTGGGTCCCCAGGGGCTGCTTCTTGCTGCTGATTGGCACTCACGGCACCTTGCTTGGTGCTCTTTTTAATTCACTGAATGTGTAGCTACTGCTCCAGGGGTGGGTGGGTGCCAAGGCCCACTCTTGGTAGGGGCAGCAAAGACAGAACCCCATGCGGTTGCATATGAGGCCACTATGGGACCGAGATAGGCATGGGCTGGACAGAGAGACCTCTCCCCAGTCCTGAACAGTGTGATGAACTCCTGGCCCCAGGGACCACCCTGTTCCCTGCTGGGCTAACGGAGTGACCAGGGCCAGCACTGGGCACAGCAGAGCCCAGCCTCTGGGACCCTCTCACTGGGCCCCGGCCCCTTCCCTGCAGAGAGCGGCCACCTTGGTCCCTCCACGGGGACACTGGGAGCACGAGGGATGTAGGCTCAGGAGCAGGCGCTGGGGACTTCTTGGGCCCCTGACTGCTTCCTGAATGAAACCCTGAGCTTGCTCGGAATTTCGAGCACCGGACCTCCTCATTTCAGCCGGGATGTGGACCCTGGGCCAGGTGCTGGGCTCCCGGGGTTCCCTGTCAGGTCCCATGATGGAAGTGGGAGGCACCCACAAAGGACCCGCTCCTGCCAGGATCCAGAAGAGCTCCCCAGGCCCTGGGCAGCCGATGTGAAGGTCGAAGGGACAGCAGAGCTTAACTGGGTGACAGAGGCTCCGTTTCCAAGTGCAAGAGGCCACGCCTCTCCTCTGGCTACCACCTGAGGAAGCGGCCCCTCGAGGCCAGGCAGCTGCCCCTGTTCTGTCGTTGGAACCTCGACCGGCCCAGGCTCTCCGCTCCAGAATGAGCCACATGCTGGAGCCAGCCACCCACCCTGGCTCCCCCTGACCTACCGTGGAGTTCGGGAAGTCACTCAGTCCCTCTGAGCCTCGGTCCATGCACTGGGGACCGAGTGTCACCCAAGAGAACGTCCTGGCTGCCTGGGTGGACACACTGTGGTTAGGTCCTGGCAGGGTCCCAGCTGGGCAGCTGCCGGGGGCTTGGAAGCCCTGAGGTTGGGGGCTGGCATGGACGGTGTGGCCTGGGCTTTGTTCCCCAGGCAGGGGACGTGCAGCACCCGCAGCCCCGCCTGTCCTGACCCCTCAGCAGAAGTCCTCCAGAGGGGCCTGGCAGGAGGGCCAGGGAGACGCGGCTCCTGTCCTCTCCCAGCCTCACTTCCGCGGTTGCCGAGGCTCAGCCACACCGGCCTTCCCCCCGCAGGTCGCCTGGACTCGGCGGCTTCCTCTGGCTCCTCTCACCTGGCTTGTGTGTGGCAGGACGTGGGGTGTGTACAAGAGCCGACCTTGTGCTCTGCGCTTAGTCCTCTCTCTGTGCCGGCAGCCTTTTCCTGTTGCTATGTCCCAGGGCAGGGGTCGGGTAGTGCAGGGCAAGGGAAGGACAGACACCCCTAGGCCGCTCCGCCCCCTTCCCAGACCCGGCTCAGGCTGGGGTGGGCGGAGCGCGGCGATCACAGCTCTTGGCCGGCACCGCCTCCTACTGCCACACGGTGGCGCTGCTGGGAACGCGCCGGCTGCGGTTGGCTCCCGGCTGCGCCGAGTCTGGGCTTGTCGGGTCGGTGGTTCCAAGGTTCGAAGCAGGTCCAAGTCGGCCCGGAACGGAAGGAGGCGCTCACCCTCTGAGGGCGGTGCCCAGGATACCCTCCCGTGGGGCGGGCACTTGGCCTTCCTGGGCCCTTCCTCCATGAACAAACCCCCCCAACAGGTTTACGACTGGCGCAGCACAAAGACAAATCAGGCGTGACGGCACACACCCGTTATCCCAACCCTCTGGGAGGCTGAGGCAGGAGGAGAATGTAGCTTAGCGCAGAGGCCCTGAGCTCAGCCTTGTCACCCACCCACCTCAAACATAAGACACATTCACTGTGTGTCATGTAATAGTCTATGTTCACCACAAGTTACCTACCAGCACACCGTAAATTAATATTGTGCGTTCATTATATGTCAGTACCTATATCACTGTGTCCAATATTTTAAAGTTCATTTCTCCTTTAGAGTTTTTCATTATTTCAATTTATTTATCTACTTATCTGAGACAGGGTTTCACTACGTAGCCCACACTGGCTTCGAACTCATGACAGTCCTCCTGCTTCAGCCTCCCCAGTGCTGGGACTTCAGATGCGAGCCAACCACACTGGCTCCTGTTGGATGTTGAAGGCAGTGACATGTGGGTCCCTAACTGTCCCTGGACCCCAGCTCTGCCCGCTGATGAACATGTGGGCCCGGCTGTGTGGCTCTGATACCCTTATCTGTGCTTCTCCTCAGTGCTGGTCCTGGACGGCAGCCCTGTCCCTCGGTGTCCCCGTCACCACGCAGGCCCGGGCTCAGCTCTACGGGTGGGGTCTGCTGGGCCATCCGTCCTGGGGCCAAGGTCACAGGTGGCCTTCGTGGACCTCAGGGACCCTGGCCTGCACACAAGGGAGCCTGTCCTTGGTGGGTCCCTTGGGGCCACCGCACAACCTCAGCTTCCGGTCTGGGCCGGGCCACTCCCTGGATAGGGCAGCAGGTGGCGCCTGACATCCCTTAAATCAGACACCACCCTCTGTGCTCACACTGGAAGACGGTGACCTGCCCTGGGCCACAGGCCCTGGAACACCCACAGACAGCTGCTGGCTGAGGGACAACTCCTGCCCTCATGCTTGCCTTTGGGGTGTCCTGACACACACCGGTGGAGAGGCCCTAGAGGTCAGAGAGACACGGGGGTTGGCGTCACCTCCTTCAGAAAGCCACCGGGTACAGGGCTGGTTAACCTCCTTGGGGCCTCCCCTCCATAGGATGGGGGCAGGACAGGGGACTTGAGGGAGGAAGACGCCGCTGCCCCGAGGCTGAGGCCTGGCACCGGTGGCGGGGCAGAAATGACCACTGACTAAGCAGACAGGAGGAGGGAGGCGCCTCGTTCCTGTTACCCACCCTGGCCGTGGGGGACATTAGGGTGACCAGGCCTGGGCTCGGGGGCCTCGCTGCAGCCCCAGCTCTGTCACTCCCTTGTCAGAACAGCGTCGCTCGCAGCACCTGGCCGCTGTGGTGGCCTCCTGGAGATGTCACAGGACTCCTCAGGGAAGGCAGTAGGTTGTATAGTTATCTTCCGAGGGGCGACATCACTGCCCGGAAACCACACAACCTACTACCTCACCCCGCTGGTGCCCTCTCACTGCCAGGAGGGTCTGCCCTGCGCCCTGCTTTCTGACCCTGCCCTGTGGGCCTCGGCCACCAGCGCTGCAGGGCCAGTGGGGCGCAGGGCAGGAGACGGAGACGATGCTGGTGTCTCGGTGAGTATCCCTCTCACCTCCTGTTAGGCAAAGGCCCCTGGGATACCTTCCCTGCCTGGGCAGTCACTGACCTCACCAGAGGCCTGACACTTAGTGGGGTGGGCTGGGCAGGTGCCAGGCATCAGAACGGGCATCCTTGGGGCAGGCAAGGCCAACACACAGAGCCCCCTGATTCTGTTGCACCTCTCACTGCTCTGCAGCCATGACCCCCACAACCCCCCCACGCCCCCCAAGTCAGGGCCCGGTGCTGTGTCCACCGTAGATATCACGGCCACTTCAGGAAAGACAGTAGATTGTATAGTTATCCACAGCAGGGCAGAGCCCCAAACTATACAACCTACTACCTCACCCCAAAGGGCGGTCAGTCTCACGCCGGCAGGGACTCGTGGCTTCCGGGTGCCTCCTGGAGCAGGAAGTGGGGTGAAGGGGAGGCAGATGTGGATCCCGGGGCTGAGAACTCCCCAAGAGGCCACTGGCGTCTCCAGGGACAGAAGGCCACAGGACATGGCCAACCCACGCAGGAGAGGGGAGCCTGTCACAGGCTGCTGGACCACTGCTACCCAGGCAGGGGTGGCCACATTGTCCCCGAGGGGCTCCGCCTGCCTGGGAGACACCAGGAAGGAGGCTGTCACTTTCCGCTCAGTGCTGTCACAGGGTGTGGCACTGGGACTCTGGGTGGGCAGTGGCCTTTTCCCCCACAGGGCTCTGGTCCTGCCTCTGCCACCCACAGTAGCCCGAGCAGACCTTGTGGCAGGACAGGCCACGGGTTGCTGCTCCCTCTTTTTGGAGCACACCTGGTTGCCCAGGGAGGTGGGCCTGCAGACCCTGCTGGGCATCAGAGCCTGGTGCCTGTTCCTCAGGGACCAGGGTTCGGGGTGCCAGGGCGGTGTGGAGAAGTCACTGCTGGGTGGCAGGGCATAGAGTCCTCCCGGGTCCTCACTTCCCCGGGGCTCTGCAGAGCTGGGCTAACGTGTTAACCTTCAGAAGAGGGGCTGCGTGCTGTCTGGCTTGCTGTCCCCGGGTGCAGGGCACCGCCTCGGGCACCCGGCACCATACTCCCTCCCTCCCGGGTCCCTCAGTCAGTGGGGTGAGCACCAGGGCGAGCACTTGGTGCTGCCTACCCCCTGCCCTATGCAGGCCCTGTCCGGTAATGGTGGCGGCCACCCCACTGCCCTATAAGGCCCCAGAAGGAAATCGCAACGTTCTGGACCTTTGGTCGACAGACAGGGTTGGGTGTCTCCAAAATCCGTCCAAGCAGAGCGGCGGGGGGGGGCGCTGGGAGGAGAGTGCTGTGGGGTCTCTGGACCCTGTGGCAATGGGAGTGATGAGGCCTTCCTGGCACTGCCCAGCCATCTGCTTGGGAGCCAGCTGTTGTAGCCTGGTCACGCGGGAGGACGCTAGCTCCGGGTCCTGCCTATCTGGAATCGGCCAGAAGCACCGTCTGCCCCCACCTGGCCTTGGAAGTGCCCAGAGGAAGGCAGCGGGGTGGCACCTTGACCTGGGCCCCTCCCCTTCTGGGATCTGAACCGGCCTGCCAAGCCGACAGAGCGGGGCACGGGGCAGGGCTGCCTGGTAGGCGGCGCTGGCTGGATGACTGCTGCGGACAGAAACTCTACTCGGCCACCTTTCGGACCTGCTGGGTTTTCAGAAACAGAAGCAAAAAGCCTCAGCCTCCAAAGACAGAGGCCTGGGGAAGGCACACAGCACCTGGCTGCTGGGGCACTCAGCAGTGCCAGGCCACTCAGGGACTCCAAGTCTTGGGGACCCCAAAAGCCAGGGCCGACAGGACCAACCCACTTGGCTGTGAAGGTCCAGTGAGGACCTGAGGTGGCGCCCCCTTCCTTGAGCACAGGCCCCGACACCTGGCTGTCCGTCCGTCACGGCAGACGCCCCCGTGTGCCCCCTCCTTCCCACATCCTGCCAGCCTGGAGTGGCCGAGTGCCCTGGGCCGGCCTCCGGGCCTCCTCAGATGCCCGCCAGGCCTCCCCTCCCATCTCCCGGCTTTTGTCCAGGATGTCCCAATGCCAGATGCTGCTGGCCCACTTTCCTCCTCAGAGGCCCCCTGCTCCTGGGGTCCCTGCTCCACCCCAGAGCTCCAGGCCCAGCCCACCCTCCATGTCGGGATGGTGCCAAGGTCCCAACCCTGCGGCCTCTGGGCAGAACCCACGCCACTCTCCTCACCTGGGGACCCTAAACGGGATCCAGATGACTTCTTACACAACGACCAGTCACGGGGAGTGGGGCAGCCGTTTCTGAACCAGTGGGGAAAAGATCCCACCTTCAGGTCTGGGGTGGGGACTGAGATGTGCCAGTTCCCCCTGCCCTGCAGCCCGGCCCAGGATGTGACCTCCAGCCTGAGCCTGGGGATGGCAGGGAAGGGTCCCAAGCGGGGCCAGGCAGCAGGGTGGGCAGTCCTGAGTGAATGGTGCAGGCTGAGTAGAAGCTGCCGGGAGCGAGCAGTCAGCAGACACCCCACCATCTGCCACCTCCCAGGCCCTGCCTAACCTCACGCGTGTTTGCCTTTGGGCGGGTGCTGGGTAGCCAGGCTGGGGAGGAACAGGCCAGCCAGGACAGGTGCTTGGAGGCCTCAGTGGGCAGGTGGCCCTTTCAGGGCTGGGTGGATGTCTGGAGCGAGCGAGGCAGGCAGACAGTGTCACCCTGAAGTCACCTCAGGCTTGGCTCAGGGCCACTGGGAGCCAGAATCCCCCCCACCGGCCCCCCTGCCCGCCCTGATTAGGTTTCTCCCATAAAGCAGCCAGTGTTTCTGCTCAGCAAGCCGTGCCAACAATGGCGTCTGGGAAGGACGGAGGGCTGGCATCCGGGGCTCCCTGCGCAAGGCCCATAAAGTTAACGAGACGCGAGCCCTGGACAGGCTGGGGCTCAGATGTGGCTGGCTGGGGCACCCCAAAGTGGGCCACACCCATGGGGCCATGCCAGGTCATGGTATTTTAAGGAGCCCAAAACTACAATGTCTTCATGTGAGATTAAGAAAAATAACATCCACAGCCAAAAGGACCATCCTATAAAAATATCAAACTTACACAGAGACAGCGCAGGCTCGCTGACCGTCTCTGGCCCAGCTGGGATGTGGCTGGGCCAGGAGCAGGCACCCAGAGGCCTTCAGGTCCCTAGAACTGCATCCTGGGGACGCAGTGGCAGATGAGCTGGGATCTGGTGTCACAGGCCCTGGATGGGACCCACGGCCGGCCAGCCCTCTGGGGCTGCTGGGACCCAGGTCCCCTCCCTGGAACTGCTGAGCCTGGCACATAGGGCAGGAAATGCCACCTGTGAGTCTGTCCCTCCCAGGCTCTCTCCTGTCCCTGGAGCCCCCAGGCTTGGGGGAGGACGTGAAGGACAACAGGCAGTGACCACAGAAGGCCTAGTGAATTTGGCAGCTTCTGAGCTGAGGAGGGGCCCAGGCAGCAGGTTTGGGGGCACAGCCCAGACTCTTGCTGTCTCCACACAGCAACCAGCTGCTGGCAGGCTCAGTGGGTGCTGTTCATGGAAGCGGGAAAGTTGGGAATCATACCCCAGGGTCAGGTCCAAGGATTCATTCGGTGCCCAGAGAGGAAGGTGGAATCGCATAGCCTCTCTGTTCCCAACTCGATTAACCCCCAGGCAATCCTGCAGCCTCCAAGGCTCAATTTATCTCCAAAGATTCGCATCTCCTTCTCCCCGTCATTCACGGCTGGGGCCTGGCCCTTCTCTGGGGATGTCTCCTGCCTGGGGAAGCCTGGGCTCCTGTGCTCCCTCCCAGGAGGCACCAGCCTGGTGTGACACGTAGGACAATACTGGCTTGGGCAGGTGGGCAGTGGGTGACCTCCTACCATCCTGTCCTTTCTGGGGTCTTCAGGAGGATCCAGGACCACAAACATCACTTCCAGGTCACAGAATGCTCTGTCTAGGATCTGTGAAGGTCTTGAGCCACTCAGAGGTCTAGGGCAGGGCCCTGCTGTATACCAGTGGCCTCCTCCACAGCAAGAACCTGACCCACAGCATAGCCACCAGCCACATCTCACCACACCTGGCGAGACGCACCTTTATCAGGTGTACCCACACTGTCCTCCACGTAGACACTCTCCTGATCTTGAAAAGCTGCCTGGAGGCCTAGAGTGCCCTGTCCCCCTAGCAGCAGGCTAGGCTGGCCAGCATCCCGTACACCCTCCAGCACGTGCTGCTTCTGATCCACAGAGCACTGGGGTGTCAGAGGAGGGACCTGTTGATACCAGACAGAAATAGGGCAGGAAGCTCAGCAGGAGGCCCGGGGGGGTTCCCCATGAGCAGCTGCTGGCTCCAACTTGTGCACAGCAATGTCTGGGCAGCCTGGGCCCTGCTCCTGGGACTGGGCAGTCTCCTCCCTGGAAGCACCCTGGCCTGCTTCCTGGGGATGGGTGGAACCTGTAGAGGCCTCACTAACCACCAGGAGGCTCTGGCACTGCTCAGCCAGGACACCCTGAGGTTCCCAGGGGCCAAGGGCTAAGGAGTAAGCAGGGGTCACAGGGTATTGCCCCCTTTCCTGTGGGCAGAGGTCCTTTTTAGAACCATCCTCACTGCACCCTCAATGGCTAAGCCTCCCCCAACTACCACAGCTTTAGTGTTTGCTCGGTGGGGAAGCCTCAGGGGTGGCAAGGGGCTGGGCAGGGCTGGGTAAGGGGCCAGGTCTCCCAGGCTGCCTTGCCAAGCGGCTGACTATGCCAAAGCCGGGGCAGCCATGGCCAAGACCAGGCAGGGTGGGGCTGGTGTTGGGCTCCATCCAGGCCGCCCAGGGCAGGCAGTGGTCAGAGGTCTCCCTCCCACTTTCCCTAAGGCCACTGCCCATTTCAGTTACAAAATGGCGGAGGACTGCGGCGGCCATTTTGTGGAGCTCGGGAAGACAAAGGCGGCTGAAACCAGAGGGCGGGGAACAGCGGGAAGCCGGCAGAGAGGAGGAGGAGGAGGGACATCCACTCCAAAAATGGGGCACTGCCCTGCACGAAGCCCTGGGATGGCCTGGCCAGGGAGCAGGGCAGGCAGGCCTTCTAGAACCTTCCTCCTGCCCAAGAGCACTGAAGCCCTCCACAGCAGACTGCGTGGCCTGGATTTAAAGTTCTTCACCTTGGCCTTAGGGAAGAGTGGACCCGCTTTTGCTAGGTTGGTGGCCTTTAGCCTGGTGGCCCAAGGGCAGGTCTGTACTCCAGGGACTGATGCTGCCCACAGGACCAAGGATGGCCAGCAGGACTGGTTGTACCAGAGACTGGCGAAGCTACCAGGTGGCCATCAAGGGGATGTGGGAGGACCCTTCTCCACCGCTGGGTCCTGCCTATGTGTGTCAAGCTACTCTGTCCCAGCCACTTCCCAAATATGTGACACCCCCCAAAACCTATAACTCCTTCCCTGACCCTTGTTCATGAGACTACAGCTCCCAACTAATACTGCTGCTCTCACATCCAGTCCAAGGCAGACAGTGGGCCCTCGATGAACCCACAGAACCCACCAAGGAGGACCTCCAGGTAGTTGCAGGGATGTCTTCTTCCTCTGCTCTGCCCTGGATGTAGGAGAGACAAACAGAATAGCTCTAGGGGGCATATGTCCAGCCTTGGCACCCCTCCTGGCCTATACAGTGGGAAACAATCCCACTCTGTAGACAGGTAAACTGAGGCCTGTGGTGGGGGGTGGCCAGCAGTGGAGCCCTGCAGGGATTTCAGAGGGGCAGATGATATTCACAGACCCAGAGACTCAGGCATTGGATGAGGACCAGCTGATTCACAGCTGGGGACAGGGTCTGTGTCAGAAAACAAGAGGGTAGACTTGGGAAGAAGCCCACAGTCTCCTTACAGCAAGGGGTTGCCACGGCAACATGGGCAGTACTGAGGGCAGGTGGTACCACCAGCCTGTCATTTGTGCAACCACAGTTGCCCTGACAACCCCAGGAGTGGATGGCACACCAAGGGCCTCCCCTAGGTTCTACTTCTCCTTGGTGGGGGGGCAGGTCTACCTCACAGTCACAGGGTCTTGGGTTCAAATTCCAATCCACCCAATATGGCTGCCAACATGTGAGCCAGTGCCAGGGCACACGTCCCCCAGGGAAGGCCAGTGTGGATGCTCATCACACCAGTGGCTTTTGCATAGTCACAGAGTGGTGTGGGAGGGCCAGTTTTCCCCAGTGCCAGGGGTCAGGGAACATAGACCCAGAGGTGCTGAGCTGCCTGGGGTCACACAGCTGCCAGGGGCCTGGATGCTTCTGCCCAGGGAACCCCAGGAAGCCCCACATCAAGGAGGCCCCACCTCTCCTCAGGGCCCTCTGGGTCTGGCAGGCATTTTTGTGGCTCGGGGCCCTCTGATGCTGGCTTTTGTTCACATTTTCCTGGGATAGAAAGACCAAGCACAAAGTATTTTAAAGGGCAAACAGGACAAACTGGTCACCTGGTATTAGAGCAGACCTGTCCCTCCCAGCCTGCGCGAGGCCACCTGGACATCTGCCCTCACTCCTTCACCTGCAAGTGAGAAGGTCAGTAGCTCACCCACCATCGAGGGTCCCCCCGCCCGCGACCCTGTCCAAGCTGAGGGGGGGGCTCCAGCCCCCACCCACATCCCAGCCTAGACTTCCCGTGCACCCCCCGTCTCCCTGTCCTCCCAGGGACAGGTGACTCCCCTCAGACAGGCATTGTGGCCATGGCTCAGTGTGGGTTGTACGCCTACCACAGGCACCAAAAATGGACAGGCGCTGCCCGCCAGGGAGTCCATGACAACAGGTGGAAGTGGTAGGGGACAGGGCCAGCAGGGTTACCATGACTGGGCCTCCCCTGTCCTGGGTCCCTCTCTGAACTGACTTCAAGGAGAGCAAGTTCAAGTCAATTAAAAACCGCACCCTGCACACCTGTGACCCCGGCTCCTTTGGAGGCTGAGGCAGGATGACTGCTAATTTAAGGCTATCCTGGGCCACTCAGACCCCAACTCAAAATAAAATTTTTAAAAAGGGCTGGGGACATGGCTTAGTGGTAGAGTGTTTGCCTAGCGTGCGTGAGCTCCTGGGGTTCAATCCTCAGCCCTGGAAGACACAACCAAACCAGCCCGGCACATGTGCCGCAACCCTCTGGGACTCGGCCCTGGTCTAGGAACTTTGCCCTTGTGACTCCCTGCACGACAGAACTTGGAGGTCAAAGACCCAGGGAGCACTAGAGTCCATGTGAAGGACCCACCTGGGTCATGGTTTTACTTGCCACTGTGCCCACAGGACATGGGGACCGTGGGAGCATGCTTGGGTCCATGTGAGGCTGAGACACAGCACAGCCCGGAGCAGAGGACCAGGCAGCCCAGGCCCCAGGACCCTTGGGACACAGGGCTGATGCACTGAGTCCTAGGTGGCACCACAGGGAAGGCAAACAGGCCAGGCCACTGTTCCAGAACCTCATGGTAGCCAACCTGGAAAGGCTCCTAGGCCTCGTCCCTGGCAGATCCTTGGCCCCTGATTTCCCAGAAAGCCTGGTCCCGCCACTGCAGAGAGGCTGTGGGCGTCAGGGGCAGCGGTCAGCACTAGCCCAGATGGGTCAGGGCGCATGGGAGTCCCCAGGCCTGTGAGATGACGTAGACATCACCCACAGGTGTCTGGCTCCAGGCGGTGGCCAGGACGGGGTGACAGCCCCAATTTCCAGCCGCACTACGAGCATTGTACTGACCTGGGCATGTAGTCTGGGCTGCAGCATCCCTGTTCCTGGGGAAGTTGCCAGCAGCAGGTGAGACCTGGTGGGAGACACTGCGGTCAGGCCTGGGTGCGGCCTGGTGTGTGAGAGCCCCACCCCCATTCACCTGCCGACTTTGGTTACCAGGTCCGGAGACTCCTGAGGCCTGGGCCCCGCACCTGGGCCCCCCGGGTGGCTCTCAGGCTAGGGAGCCACCCTGTCTGTGGGACACTGTGTCCAGACCCTGTGCCTCAGACATCTTGGTTCCCTGCGCTGGGCCCCAAGGGGTGCCAGGCAGTAGCAGTGTGTGGACCCAGTGATTGTAAGTGACAGGCTCTGCCTGGTGTGGCCTGTTTAGGGTTGGGCTTTCAGGACATGAAAGGAGCTCCCTCTCTCCCTCCCTGCCTTCCGTGGCTGGGGGTTGGGGACATCTGGCACTCAGCGTGGGTCCATTTTCACTATCACTGCTGGGGTCAGTTCTTCCCAAATGTCACTTACTACTGTGATGGCTTCTCCTTTTGGCTTTGGAATCCAGGAAGCTCAGAGCTGAGCTTACAGGTCTCCACCAGCAACGGGGAGGCTTCTTGGTGGTGTGCTTCTAGGCCTACCTTCAGTTTTCCCTTTGCTTGTTTTTATCTTTCCGAGTGGCCCATATTCTCTCTGTGGCAGGGCATAAGTAAGGGAGCAGGTAATACCCCGGCTCCCTCCTCGCATATGACTGGGCTCCACCTCTGCATAGGTCTGGAGCCAGATCTACCATGACCTCCCAGGACCCCAGCAGTGAAGGTGGGGTGGGGACCTCTAGGGGTTGGACCTGATGCTATGCCTTAGCCCTCCCGAGGCGTGGCTGCCCCCGTGTATCCTTGGGGACCTGATACTGGGTCCAAAGAGTTGTAAGGACCTTAAAGCCCAGAGGGCTGGGCAATGCCACTGCCACACAGCAGCAGCCTCAGAGGAGCAGGTGACGTGGGCAGAGCCATGGCTGTCGTGGGGCTTCTCAGGCCCCTCCCCACCCAGCTGGGTCACCTCCATACCCATACTTCCCTGGCTGTGACACTGACTGGAAGCCACGTGACCACAGCAGGCCTGGGCTCTGGGCCCTGAGACCCTTGGGGCCTCATGGACAGAGGTGGCCTGCATTGCATGGGCTCCACCGTGACAGGCTAAGGAAAGGGAGCGTGGGACACCGGGGCCACACGTCTGGGTGGCCTCCCATCCTGAGGGCGTTTACTACAGGGGAAGATTGTCCAGCTCCCTACAAGGCCACAGGCACTCTGGGGTTCACTGTCTACCCCAAAACTCCTGCTCATCTTATGAGTGGGTAAACAGAGGCTCAGGCATCATCAAAGCCTGTCTGATTGGGCAGCTAGTCTGGGTTGGGCTAGGCCACCTCCTCAGGGGCACGGTCCCTGGCCTGTGTGCAGGCCTGGGGGTTGCTGGTTAAGCCCCTCAGGGACTCTGGGCAGCACAGGGCCATGAAGTCAGGCTGCCCCTCCACTCCCTGAAGGACCCGGTGCATGGCCCTTCTCTGCCAGGCCAGGACCCCAAGGCTCTTGGAACCCGGGTAGGCCCTCCCTACCCAGCCCTACCTGGGTGTGGGGTCCCAGTGCCCACTGATGTGGGCTCCGCTCTGTGACAGCTGTATCCTGCAAGACATAAGGAGATGGAGATGTCAGTGCAGCAGGTGGCTCAGGACCCCAGAGGGGGACAGAGGGGGGTCAGCGCCTCCCCCTGCACCTCTCAGTTCCCCCACACCCACACAGAGGACCACAACCTGCCACTCGCAGGGGTTCTGACCCGAGACTCTCAACGTTCCCAGGAGGCACAGCACCAGACCTGGGTCCTTGCAGCTCAGCTCACGGAACTTGCACTGCTGCGCCCCAGGCCTGGGAGTTCTGTCCTGGGACCTCTCCTACATGGCCATGTGTCCTGGGGCTCAGCTCAGTGCCTGGCAACCACGGGACGGGAAAGGCGCCCCACGGTCCTCACTCTCAGAACGAGAACCCCAATATGGTCCTTGCCACCGAAGTCTGACTTGAATGGCCGCCTAGCCTGTAAGGGGGACACTGAGGCCCAGGAGGTGGCCCTCGCCAGGGTTGCTCCACCCTCTGGGCAGGAACCCCAGCATTTCTTTCCCCGCATGCCCATGTGTCCCAGCTCTCACAGACCCCGGGGCACAAGAAGGTGCAGCCAGTCAGGTGCCCCAGTCGCCTGAGCATGGCCACCCCAGAACCACCACCTGGACTGGGGCCACTTCTGGTGGACATGAGCTCCAGTCCCCACCTCTGTGGCTTGGTTTTGTGGGGCTCCTGAGGCTCCAGGGTTGGGAGGGACCCACGGACGGCTTCTGTGGGACCTGCTGGGGGTCGAGGGAGCTATTGAAAAACTCGCCCAACCCTCTTCTTGGCTCCAGAGAGGGCCCAGGCAGGGAGGCCAAGGCACGTGGCCAGTGCCCAGGACCACAACTCTGCTCAGAGGATGGCGACGGTGCCAGAGAAGCGGGTACAGGAGAGGAGCACACAATTGGGGACCTTGGGCCAGAACATGTGCTGTCCTGCATCACGGCAGAGAGACCAGGCCAACCCAAGATGCCCTAGACACTGAGTGCACAAGATGTCTGCCCAGTGAGTCCCGAGCCCCTCGGTTGTCCCTGAAGGAGGTGCTTCTCCTACTGATGAGAATGGCCCCACGGCAAATTCAAGCCCAGCTCAGGCACCTCAGCGACTCAGAGACCCTGCCTCAAAATAAAAAATTAAAAAAGGGAAGGGAGGATAGCTCAGTATGAAGGCCCTGGGTTTGATCCCTGTGCGGCGGTAGGGCTGGGGTTCTAGTGTGAGGGGAAAACCAAGTCATGGGCTTGTTTCCATCTCAAACATGGAGTCAGACTCCAGACCGAGGTGTTTGTCCTAGCTGCACTGGGGTGAGAGGTAAGGAGGCTAGATTTTCCCTAAAGCAGTGTCACTGTGACGGTCGTCAGCCTCACTGGACGGGGGAGCTGGCCTCATAGAGCCTGGTCCCCTTGCTCCACTCAAATGGCAAACACGCCCGGCAGACAGCCCCGGACCTCAGCACACGGAGCTGTCTCTCTTCCGGGGATGACGAATAGCGATAACCCAGCTCTGTTTCACCTCGGCCAGGTGCTCAGTTTCGTATAAACCCTCCCTCTGTTGCAAAAGAAGTATGTACATTTTAAGCCAGATTCGGGATTTTGGAGACATTGCGATTTTTTTGTTTGTTTGTTTTCCTGGTACTGGACGTTGGACTTCCCACTGAGCTACATACCCAGCCTTTTTTGTTTTGAGAAAAGGTCTCATTAGGTCACTAAATTGCCCAGGCTGGATGCAAACTTTCAATCCTCCTGCCTCAGCCTCCCAGAGTGCTGGGATTACAGCCCTGCGCCATCACACCTGGCTCTCTTTAGCAAAGCTCTGGGACTGAGAAGCAGAGAATGCAGAAGCAACCCCGATCCTCTGCCCAGCTCTGTACACAGTGCATCCATCCAGGTGGGGTTGTGGATGTGTGGGTCTCACATGTAGGGACCACGGGTGCCATGCGGAAGGCCCATGAGGGTGTCCACTGGGTCACCGTGTCACAAACATCCCAGCCTGGGTGAGCGGGCTGCCCAGAGTATCAACACCCATCAGCTGCAGTGCACTGACTCCTCCGTCTCCACGTGTGACTGTCTCACCCCCAGGGACCCCGCAAGTTGGGCCCTGAACAAAGCTCAGGGATGCCATCAGGCCCTAGAACGTTCCGCAGACCACCCATGTCAGAGGTGGATGGGGAAACCAAGGCAGCAGGCAGTGGTGAAGGCCCAGGATGTGTGCAGGACAGCGGCGGGTCTGGCACAGGCCCTGTGAGGGGCTGAGTGCCCCAGGCCCCAGCTTCCCCTCCCCTCTGGTGGCTGGGGTTCTGTGAGGTCACCCCAGATATCGATGTTGCAGTCTGGCACACAGAGAAGCTTTGTGCCTCCTCCACACCTGCTGCCCAGTGCCCACTTAGGGCTCAGCCCCGGGAGACGAAGTGGGGCTTGGGTGTGGCTGTGCCTACCCCGAAGGTCCCCAGGGCACAGGTGGGAGGGGGTGGCAGAGACGCCAAGGAGCTGGGCGCCTCCCATAAATCACCCTGCCACACTTTCTAATTATCCGGGCACTTAAGCTCCTCTTGTCTTGTCTTCCCCTTTCCCTGGGGAAATTTCCTTCATTTCCTACATTATCCCAGCCTCCCGGATGTCTAAATCAAGCCTGGGCCCAGCGGCAGCCCACTGCCTGCACAGGCTCCCTGGGCTTACTTTTGCCGGGCTTGTGTGTGTGCGGGTGAATGTGTGTGTGCATGTGTGTGTGCACACAGTGGTGGCTGCCAGGTGCAACCACCCCAACCCAAATTTCATCCCTGCCCAGGGCAGAAAACCAGAAATGCCTCCACACCCACCTTTCAAGGGGCCCATGGGCCTTGTCACTATCCCGGGATGGACAGCAGCCTCCTCCTTCACTCTGTTCTCCCACAGGCTGAGGGGCAGGGTCACGGTCCCCGCCCAAGGACGAGGACACGGCGGCCAGGGGAGGTAAAGGTCCTGCCCAAGTCACTGGGCTGATTCGCCCTGCTGCTAAGTGAGCTGCAGCCCAAAGAACTGCTTCCGTGACCCCTGCACCCAGAACCCCTCTCCATAGTCAGGCAGCGGCCCAGACGGTTGAGGGAGGAGCCAGAGCAGCCATCAGGCCGGCAAAGCATCCCCGAGGGCCTGCACCAATGTCCCTCTCCCGTGGGGCCAGAGGAGGCAGGTGCTGGGCCGCTGGAGCGTGGGTCGGGCTGGCCTGGCAGCTCTTCCCAACTGACCGCAGTGCCTTCCCCGGGGCTGAGCTGGCTGCGGATTTTCAAAAGCTGGAGCTCATTCTCTGCCCCCACTGCTGACCTCTCGCCATCTTGGGCACCATCCCAGCCTTGCTCCCCGCGTTCATGGCCAGGTCACCAGGTGCCAAGGGTGTGGTAGGCACAGCTGCCAGGCCGCCGGCTCCCCGCAGAGCCAGGCCTCCCCACTGAGTGTCCCTGGGCTCCTGCTGGCGCTTGACCTCTCCTTCTCTGCTCAAGCTCCGTGAGTCCTGCCCTTAAAAAAACCTTCTGTGAAGTCAAACAAACAAATCCTCAGTCCCAGGACCAGAGGGCTGGCTGTGGGGCGGCTCTGGGCTCTCCTTTTGCTTCCTGTTTTGGCACTGAAAGGAACTTAAGAAACCATCCAACCCCTCTCATGTTACAGGTGGGTAAACCGAGGCCCCGAGAAAGGAAGGGGCGCTGCGACGGGCTCAGGGACCCTAACTCAGGCCCAGGGCTCAACCCAGGACCACAGCAGCTGCTGGCCAGAGCCTGCCAGATCAGAGCAGCCCCACCGTGGGCAGGATTCTGGGCACCGGGATGAAGGAGGCCAGGGCTGGACCCTGGGTTCCTTGGCACAGGCCGAGTGGGGCTCCACAGACGAAGATAGAGCCCCTCGGGACACCCCGGGCTCCAGGAAAGCAGGCGCTTTAATGGAAACCAGTCAGCGGGCCAGCCACTCCCCCCACTCCCGTTGCCATAGGGATGGGAGGGAGGCGGAGCTCTGGCGAGGCTGCAGCAGCAGATGTGGCCTGTTCAGGGTGGCCTGGCAGGGGCCTGGGACGTGGTGGGCCTGAACCTCCCCCCACTGGGCCTGAATCCTGCTGGGGTCATCTCAGCCTGCTGGTGACTCTGGGGGAAGCCTCCGTGCCTGGACCCACTGGGAAAGCTGTGTTCATGGGCACGGGGGACGTGGCACGGAACGGTACTGGCCGGTCCCTCTGCATGGTCTGCTGGATTGGGCTCTGGACAGCCCAGCCGGGCCTCCTTTCCAGGCTGCGCCAGGCTGGTCACCCTGCACCCCGCAGTCAGGGCCCGAGGGTGGAAGTGCTCCGTGCTGCCTTGATCCGTAAGGACGAGAAGGGTGGTTTCCTCCCCACGGGCTCACTCGCTTCCGTCCTGACGCGAAGACACTGGACCACATGGCCTTGTCCCAGCCCAGCCCAGCCCCAGCATCTGGGCCGTAGGACTCGGAGGACAAAGGCAACCCCAAGGCTCAGCTGATGCGCCAGGTCACAAGGGCAGGGTGTCCGGGGCGCTGGACAGCCCAAACCAGTGGGCTTCAGAGGAAGGGTGACAGCAGTCCAGCGGGGGTCAGTCCTTAGTGTCCCCAGAGCCAGCATGAGGCGACTCAGGCCCTGGGGACAAGTCCTCATTCTGGGTGTCTGGGAAGAGCTGGCTACATTTGGCATCTGAGAGAGGCTGAAGATAAACAGGGTACCACATGGTAAAGATCTGGGTTAGGGTGCAGGCTCTGTTACCCCTTTGCTGTGTGACGGGAGAAGTTTCTTCACTTCTCTGAGCTGCAGTTACTTGTGCAGAAAACTCAACAGCTGCACCCTGCTAGACTGGACCAGGTTTACCCTGTGTACTCCACAGACTCGCCTCCAACTGACAGCGATCCTCCTGCCTCAGCTTCATGACTGTTGAGATCAACGCATTCACAGGGCCTGCTGAATTTTTTTTTGCTGTTTTTGTTTTTAAAGGATATAAAAGACATAGCCAGGCCTGATGCTAGTAGGTACTCAACAAAACCCCCATCCACCCTGAGGAGCTG